TGGGCAATCTACTTCTGTAGTGGTACCACCTCGGAAACCTAAGGAGGCGTCGCTATGAATTGGGTCCGACTCGATGGCACGTGACAACAACTGAGCAGAAATGGACTGGTATTGGCCATTTTGAATCAGATAATCATATGGTCTACTCTTCTGGTAATGGCAAATTGAAGAGAGAGAATGTAACATTTATCCTCAAAAAAAAAATCTGTCTTGAAGTACAATGCTATCAGTGATAAGATAACATCCATATGCCTACAGGAAAGAACAGTGCATGCAACTATTATTCAAATTTACACAATACTAGTGCCAAAGATGAAGGAATTAAAAAGTTTTACCAGCTTATGCAGTCTGAAATTGATCAAACATACAGTCAAGGTACATTGATAGTTACTGGTAATTGCAATGCAAAAGTTTGGAAACAAGAAGCATGAGTAGTTGGAAAATGTGCTCTTAGTGATAGAAATGATGACAAAGATTGCAGGATAGACTTTGGCAGGATGAATGATTTATTCATTGGAAATGCCTTCTTTCAACAACATTAACAGCAATTGCACATAGACTTTACCAGATGGAATACACAGGGATCAAATTGAATACATCTGTGGGAAGAGATGAAGCAGAAACTCAATATCATCAATCAGAACAAGGCTAGGGACCAGCTGTGGAAGAGACTATCAATTGCTCATATGGAAGTTTAATGGAAGCTGAAGAAAATTTAAACAAGTTCATGAGAGCCAAAACATGACCTTTAGTATTTCACACCTGAGTTTAGAGACCATCTGAAGAACAGATTTGACACATGGAACACCAGTTACTCAAGAGCAGATAAGCTGTGGATGACATCAAGGACTTCATATATGTAGAAAGCAAATAGTCATTAAAAAGACCAGAGAGGAAGAAAAGACCCAAATGGTTGTCAGAAGTGACTCTGAAACTTTCTCTTGAATGGAGAGTAGACAAAGTGAATGAAATAAATGATAAGATAAAAGAGCAGAACAGAAGATTTTAAAAGGTGGCTTGAAAAGACAAAGTAAAGTATTATAATGAAATGTGCAAAGACCTGGAGTTAGAAAATCGAAAGGGAAGAGCAAGATCAGCATTGCTCAAACTAAAAGAACTAAAGAAAAATTCAAGGCTCAAGTTTCAATATTGAAGGATTCTTTGGTGGCATAGTGCCTAAGGCATTAGACTGCTAATCAGAAGGCTGGTGGTTCAAACCCACCAGCCACTCCTCAGAAGGAAGGTTGGGCAACCTACTTACATAGTGATACCACCTCGGAAACCCAAGAAGGGGTCACTATGAGTCAGATCTGACTCGATGGCAGTGTGTCTAGTTTTGTTTATGGGGAAAATGCTGAACGATGCAGGAAATATCAAAATGAAACTCCTATCCTGTTGCTGTGTTTTTCTTCATATAGTCCATCTTCTCTGATTATTTGCTCAGCTTACAGATTGAATAAGTATGGTAAAAGGATACAACCCTGATACATATCTTTCTTGATTTTAAACTGTTCATTTTTCCTCTTGTTCTGTTTGAGTGACTGCCTCTTTGTCTATGTACAGGTAGGTTCCCTATGAGCACAATTAAATGTTCTGGAATTCCCATTCTTTGCAATGTTATCCATAATTTGTTATGATCCATAGATGCATGTAGATGGTTAGATTTATTTCCAGGTTCTCAATTCTATTCCTTTGGTCTATGTGTCTGTTATTGAACCAGTATCAGGCCATTTTGATTATTGTTGCTATAAGAGCAAAGATGTCACTTTGAAGACTAAAGTGCACCTAACTGAGCTGTGGTATTTTTAATCACTTCATGTGCATGTGAAAGCTGGATAATGAATAAGAAGACTGAAGAAGAGTTAATACCTTTGAATTGTGGTCTTGCTGAAGAATACTGAAAATACCATAGACTGCCAGAAGAACTCACAAATCTGTCCCAGAAGAAGTGCAGCCAGAATTCTTCTTAGAAGTGAGAATGGCCAGACTTTGTCTCACCTACTTTGGTCATGTTGTCAGAAGGAACCATTCTCTGGAGAGTGCTTGGTAAAGCGGAGTGTCAGAGAAAAAGGGGAAGACGCTCAAAGAGATGGATTGACACAGTAGCTGCAGTGATGTGCTCAAGCATAACAAGTATTGTGAGGATGGCACAGGACCAGGCAGTGTTTCATTCTGTTGTACACAGAGTTGCTATGAGTTGGAATCAACTCAACGACACCTAACAACAAGAACAAGATGTATAGTATGTTTTCAAATGGGGAAATATGAGGCTTCCTACCTCCTACTTTGTTCTTTGATACTGCTTTGCTTTTCTGAGGACTCTTTCCTTTCCATATAAAGCTGGTGAATAATTTTTCCATTTCCATAAAGAAAGCTGTAATTTGGATCAAGACTGCATTATATCTATTGATTGCTTTGGGAAGTACTGATACTTTTACAATGTGAATTCTTTCAATAGGGTTTTAAATTTTTTGTTATACAGGCTTTAAATTCCTGGTTAGGTTTATTCTTAGGTATTTTATCATTTGGGGGCTATTGTAATGGTATTGTTTTCTGGATTCCCTTTTCAGGTTTCTCCTTCTTAGTCTGAAGGAACCCAACTGATTTTTGTGCATTGATCGTCCCCTGCCACTTTGGGGAATTTTCCTATTAGACTCAGTAGCTTTCTTGAGGAATATCTAGGATTTTCTATATATATGATCATGTAATTTCCAAGTAGAGAGAATTTTACATTTTTCTTTATAATTTAGATAGTCTGCATTTCCCTTTCTTGCCTCATTTCCTTATTGTTCTGCTGTGATTTCCAGTACAAAGTTAGGTAAGAGTGGCAATAATGGGCATCCTTGTCTCAAGGGGAAGGCTCTCAGTTTTTTTTCCATGTTTGCTTTGATTTTTCTCAAAGTTTGTGTGGCACTCATTCTATACTCTCTCAAGCAGTTTTAAATCTTTTATTCTTTCTGAAGGATGGTCTTTCCCAGCTTACTGACATCTTTCTAATTTATGTGCTTACTATTAGCAGTGTAGCATTTTTCATTCCCATGCTACTACTGAGATTTATGTTGTCAGTGAAGCTTCAGAAGGGAATTTATCAGCCACAATTGCACATGCATTAAACAAAGCTTAAGAACAGATACTCCTAATATGATTTTCATTTATGACTTCTTTAGTGTAGCGTTCCCCAAGGACAATGGTCAGTATTAATTAAAACATCCTGGAGTGTATCAACCACAAGTACTTTAATGTGAGATGCTGTGAAGAGCTTTAAAGTATTGAATGAACACAAAAAGGATATGGAAAATTCTAGCTCTCTGCTGCTTTCATGTAGATGTCACTTTAAAGCAGATATTCTTCAGACTTACCAGGATTAACACAATTTAGAGAACCAGTGTTTTGTATTTGCCATTTGTTACATAAGAGAAAAGAAATTGAGAGGCTTCATTCCTTATGTGGTAGATGTCATGTTACGAGGCATTAGTGGTTCAGTGGTAGAATTCTCACCTTCTTTGAAGGAGACCCAGATTCAATTCTTGGCTGATGCACCTCAAGTGCAGCCACAGCCCATCTGTCAGTGGAGGCTTGCATGTTCCTGTGATGCTGAACATGTTTCAGGAGAACTTCCAGACTAAGATGGACTCTAAAGAAAGGCCTGGCGATCTACTTCTGAAAATTAATCAGTGAAAATCCTATGAATCACAATGATTTGATCCACAGCTGATCTTGGGGATGGCACAGTACTGATGGTGCAGTACTTGGCAGCATCTTGTTCCATGCTCAAGGTCATCATGAATTAGGAGCTGACTTGATGGTAGCTAACAACAAAAGGATGTTATATTGCTAGCACATCTAGGAGAGGAGACTCTTGGTGTGTGTGTGTGTGTGTGTGTGTGTGTGATTTGAGTGAAAGTTTACAGAGCAAATTCACTTTCCATACAGCAGTTCACATACACTTTATCTCATGACACTGACTACAATTTACCACAATGCAAC